TTGCCACAACTAGAGAAAGCCCTCGCACAGAAACAAAGACCCAACACAGCCATAAATAAATTAATTAATTAAATAAAAAAAAAAAAAAAAAAAGTCCATCTCAGAGGCTTACCCTGTCCTCCATACTCAAAACTACAACTTGCTCTATCCATGGCACTCTTACCCAACTGCTCTTTATTTTTCCATGTACACATTTTTCAACATACTATACATTTTAGTTATTATGTTTACTGCATGTCTCCCCCACTAGTATGTAAGCTCCAAGAGGGCATGGATCTTTGACATTCATTCTCTAATGTATTCCACTTACTGAGTACAGTGCCTGACACATAGCAAGTGCTTGATTAATATTTGTTTAAAAAATATATATGGTATACAGTTCTACTAGTGAAAATGCCGAAAGGCAGCCTTTCCATCAAGCTGTCACTACCCCATGAGACTAGAAGCAAGTAGACCTAGGTGTTCTGGTAGGGAATGTCAGTTGGAAGCCCTCATACTCTCAAATGCTACTTAAAGTTGAAGTTATTTGTGCCTATACCTTTAAAAGGACTACCATGTTCAGGACTGCCTGAGCGCTGAATCTGAGGAAAAGCCCTGGGAGGGTGGGGGAGGGAATCGTAGCTCCAGGAGTAGCACATTAAATCTTTCAGTAGGGGCTAAACCCCAAACAGCTTCATTTTTTTCTCCTAGGACCCCGTGGAAGATTAGAAGTAGTAACAGGTTCTGGTGGAGTCTAAAGGTGGAAACTGGCTGCAATGATATAACTCTGAGACAAAAAAAACTTATGAGCCATCTCAAAAATTGGTGACTAATAAACTTCAGGATTTCAGTCCAAAAGATAGAAGAGGCAAGTCAGGAATAAAGTCAGAAGAATGGATATATCCCCTTATACCTTGTAGTGTTTTCAGGTCCATCCTTGAAGGAGTTGAACCACCAAAATAAAATCTGTTTTTTGCTAAAAATAACTAAAGCTATCTGTACAAAACCAGCAGCAATGCCACTAGACTAAGGATCTGATATCCAGTGTATACCTGCAGGTAGGGGGGGTGGGAGGCATCTTTCCATTCTTGGTGTTTCTTTGTATGTGGAAGGATTTCCCCTGGCAGAAAATCCTGGTATCACTCCACTCTTGTATTCATTCCTTACTAGAGGATGCATACATTCTGCTCTGTTTCTCCACACTGTAATTTTTACACACACAGGCGCCCAGGTAGGAAAACTTGAAACAGTCCAGCACTGTCTGAGTGTGGTAAGTTTCTCCAATTCTGAGTTTCAATATTAAGAAGCCCACTTGACCACAGTTACAGCCACATTCTCCAGTATTAGCCTCATTAGCAATAAAAGTGGTATCTTGGCTTCCCATATGCTGTATTCTTCCTTGTGTATCTCTTCATTGGTTTAAACCAGGCATGATGAAGGGAGCTTTTGACTGCTCCTCTAAAACTCTCTATCACTCTTATGACTCTGAGCTCACATCTGAAATCAGCATTCGTTAAATCTTTGAGATCCACAGACCTAGCACAGTGCCCTATACGTGGCAGATGCTCATTGTTTAACTGATTGAAGCACATACTGAACGTCTTAAAATACACAATTTACCTACCCTGTGTTGAAAAAAGGATGGATCAAGGTATTTGTCAAATCGATCTTCAAATTTTACATCTGACTTTTTCCATTTTACCTGAAAAAAATTTTCTTCATTTGAAAATCAAGGCCAGTAAACAATAATCTGATAAAAAAAAAACTCTGAGCAAAATTTGAAAAGATTTACACACTTAGAATAAGATACTAGAGAAATAGTAGAAAGTTACTACCAACTTGAGAAGTTGAAATACATGATAAAAAAAACTAGCCAACTTTCCTCTCTGTGTATTAACAAAACATGACTTAGAGGGATCATTTCAGTTTTCAAGGACTATTAACTGTTGCTGATTTACATTCTCTGACCTCATAAATGTGATAACAACTCAATTAAAAAGACCAAATAAAATAAGAATCTGTACATCTTTGACTTTAGGTTGCATTAGTTTTATTACAATGATGTTTCTTTATAAGTACGGTTATGCAAATATTATTTGCACTAGGTACATATGCACAAAGCTCGAAAAACTTTCAAAACTGTCTACCAGCAATGGATTCATTCCAGTTACCTGGAAAAAAACTACCAAAAAGAAAGGCTACCTAAGTCGGATTTCTCTTCTTTCCACTACTTTTAATCCTAACAGAACAGAATTAACTTGACAGTTGCAAGGGGCTCTGACAAGCTCTTACTCTGCAGGAGTATCTTATTCCAACTGATAAAGCAAAATATGGTATAAACTATACTCATCCAGAAATTTTCAACATGGCATCATCTCTTAATCTTCAACAGTAAAAAGGAAAGAGAAACAAGGAGTAATGTAATCTAAAAAGTAACCATGAAAACACATGGCTGGGTTAGCTAACTGCCCAGCTATAATGGTAAAGTTTGCTGAAGCAAATGGTAGGTCCTGCCAATGCATAACAGGTATCTAATACTAGAGACCTTGAAGTAAACCTCCCTGCTTTTAGGAGGCTTACTTACATACATTAATAATATTCTGTTGCATCCCATTTCAAGCTACAATTTCAATTACTAAAAGTTGTAAAACATACTTAATTGTTGATATTAAGTGACAAACACTGTTTCCTGTATACAATTATTTTAATACTTACCGAATATGACATCTGGATTTTAGTATTGGGAACCAGTTTCACTTTTCCTTCACTAGTTAGATTAACATCAACAATTCGATTCCCATTAAAACCTATTTCAAGTTTTTTATAGGTCCAAAGATAGTAATCTTCCCCATTTTCATCTGCTTCACCAACAATACCTTCAAAAGAAATAACACTTCATACAAGGTATGTAATATCACTTAGTATTTAAAATACATTAGAAGCTAAAAGCTCATTAAAAAACATTTTTATAAAAAAGCAATACTACCATTATTCCTCATGGTTAGAAAAATGAAAAGGTACCGGCTGGACTTCTCTTTGTTAACTACTTGGCAAACACAAAACTATTTTCACACCATGGTAAAAAAAGTGATGCACAGCTCAGCATAACCTATCACTAATTTGATCCTCAAAGTTCATGCTCTGTCATTAGTATCACCTTCATTGTAATAATCATGACTGTGTAGTTTATATTCCTTAGTATCTCAAAATTTCAGGGAGCACTATATCACTATCTGGCAAGGTTCTCAGTTCCGTGGTCAAACTAAAATTAAAACCAAGGTCTCCAGAGGTCTAGTCCAGTACTTTCTCTAATAACCTATGATCAACTCATTCCTAATAAGCTGCACATATGTGTACAGTGGGTACCAAAACTTAAAACACCTCCCCTTTATACCTCAAGCATTGGACTTATCCCTGGGAAGTCAACAAAATGAAAGGAGAGTTGAAAATAAATGGTAATGAGGCAAAAGTTAAAATGATCATTTTGATCACAATTTGGGATACTGAAGGAGAAGACCCAAACAAGGGAGCAGGTAGTACCTGAGGATCTACCTCTTGTGCCCTCACACTGTCAGCTATTTATCCAATGTTCCCTACCCAAGCCTATATATTCATTAGCGCCTTAGGCTCTAAAAGTTACTCCTTGGGCCTTCCCTCTACGGTCAGTGCAACTCATGAAAAGCATTAGTGGGAAAAAAATGATCATTTCTTATTAAGAATTATTTGCTTATTAACCAAAGTTGTTCTAATTGGTACAAGTTCAAGGAATACAGTTTCACTTTGTTTGAGGTTGTAGAGGGATAATAAAATCCTTCTAATAATTAATTTCACCAAAGTTTATTTACCTATCTACTCTGAAAACTCTGAGGGTGGAGACATAATTATACCAAATAGGAAACTATTCTCTCTAAATGACATTTAAAAGACTCTGAAATCTTTATCCCAAGAAAAGCTAGATAAAGATTTTTTCCTACAGGGTTTCCCATGGTTCAGACATTCTAGGACATCCAAAAGTATCTGCCCTAAACATGGCAGAAACCCAGAGCTAAAAAAGATTTATGTTAAGACAGGAAAGCACAGCTGCCATGTTGCTTATGGAGGCCCTCAGAAATGACGGAAAAAAACCTAAGGTTCTAGACATGAAACCCATAAGCAATGCAAAAGACTTGCTCTCTCACCAAAAAAAGAGAAAACCCAGATTAATGTGGGTTCTCCTAAAACTACGGGCTCAGAAGTCTTCATCAAATATTCAGCATATCTTCCTACTACCCTCAGAGCCAATCACAGAAATGTCTGTTATACTAATTACGGTCATTTACATGAAACGCTTACTATTTATACCTAATTAACATGTAACACAGTAATGACGATGCATACAATTATATCTTGATATTAACTTTCTTATAAATTCCATCTTAGTACCATATTAAACTCTGGGCTGATATGTTCAGTCTTTCAGTTTGCTGTTCATGAATACAGTAGTCTGCTAATAACTTTAAGAATTAGAATATTAATTATATATTATTTATATATAAGAACAAGTGTCCAAAGACCAAAAAACAAAAACAACAACAACAACAAGCCATTAAGAGAAAAATGTGATCAAACATGCTGGCTGTGATAGCTGGCTTTGCTTTGCATATTAAGTAATTTAATCAAGCCCAGCACAAACAATGTTTGGATTATGAATAAGTTGGTATTAACTACTGCATTGTTCCTCTCCATTAACACAGATGAACAAGGACATAAAACATAAAAAATAAAACAAAAAAGTTTTTAAAATTTTAAACATAATAGACTTTTGGAAAATAACATAGGAACTAGCAAAACAAGTCATTCAGGAGACTATTATATCTAAAAACCATACTACCACAGTCCCACATGAGAGAAAGCCAGAATATAACTTTAAAATCCTATTCAGTCCCTTTGACTGCTATTTGATAAAATAAGTCAAAATAAGATGTGAGAAAAATGGAGGGAGGGGGAATATTTTGGATTGTTCAAAGCACCTTTTGACCTCTTGAATATGAAAAGTTACACTGTATAAAAGTTATATTTTCAGGGATTTTCATGTAAAGTTTGACTGTCAAAAACCCTTCAAGTAACAGGAAACCATAAAATTGATGCTAAAATCATTCTGTGGAAAACGGTGAAAACACATTTATTGATTCAGTGTACAATCACCTGAATAGTCATTACATAAATCTTGATTATGCAAATATTCCCCAAACTTTAAAAATAACATACAATACTTACCCCATATTGGTAAGTCATCTATGTACATCTGGTACCAGTAGTGATTTCTGATAGCATACACAAATGCATCTCTCTTTTCTTTATCTAAGTCAATTTCACAGTAAGTGGCTGGCATCACATCATCTGCATAAAATAAAAATTGCAAATCAGTACACTCATTTGCAAAATAGTTACAGGAAGAATAACACACAAAAAGCCAACATTTCCTGAAGTTAAAATTTCTACTCATAATAGTTGAATCTCGGTGATACATATATATATATATAGGGATTCAGTATACAATTCTTTCCTTTTTGTGTATGTTTAAGATTTTTCACAATTAAAGAATTTTAATCATCTTTACTTTCAAAGATTATCTTACTAAGTGAAGAAAGCATCTCTTATATAAAGAAAATTATACAGAACATTTACAAAGTAACTTTAAAATGAATAAACTGATTTAAAAACAAATGAAAAAGCTTAAAATACATAGGAAAGTTTTCACTTTATACAAAAACTCAAGAATATGATCCTAAATAGAGCTAACAATTTCTAGCTATGAGATCTCTGAGATAAATATTCATTTGAACATTCTTGGAAGTGCAAGTCACTGGAGGCCACAGATTCTATGAGGAATCCCAGTGACTCTTCATAATTCGGAAGATTAAAAGGCAAACCTCTATCTAGCAGGCATCACTGTTTATAAATTACCCAAAAGTTCCCTGGAGATGAGTCATTTCCACTCTTGACTGCTTTTAAAAATACTCCTATCTGAAAATAATATTCAGATGGTCTCTAACTTATAAACCTTTCAAAAATGTGCTTAGGATCATTAGTTTCTAAATAAAACAAAGCAAAATCTGAAAAGCACTCTAGATGTCCATCAAAAGGACTGAACTGTTTTTGTATGTTACTTAAGCAACTAGGGGAAAAAAAAGAGAAATCAATCTTAACAACAACAAAAAGCACAGATGTTTAAGTTCTCCTGTACTATAATATTGGTTATTTAGAACATGAAATACAACTTCCTCCAAGAAACAATGTTAAATTTACCAAATGTTCATTAAAACAACAAATATAAATTTCAGCCAAACTATAATTAATAGCCATCTATAATGTTGTTTCTACGAGAAATAACAATCTGACGTATAACTCCAGACACTACCACCATGTTTCCCCAGTTCTCAACAGAGAGAATAGCTTATTATTGCTCAGCCCAGAGTGGACACCCCAAAACTACAAAACCAAAGATGGCAGGAAACACTGAAGTCCCATGAAAGAGGGACAGGGAAATTCTCTATCCCAGTGGGAGAAGAAAACTGCTTTGTATCCAACAACAATGGCTCCCACACATATTTTCTTTCTACCCAGGCCATTTTGAGGCAGCAAGAAATTTAGGGTTTTCATAATGGCAAAAACTGAGGCTGAGCAGAGGAGAAGGCAGGGAGAGTTAAGAGAGAGATTACTACAAAGGATGCCTACAGCAGGAGCTAGGAGAACTGGCAGCAGGAAATTAAAGCTACAGAGGAGAAAGCAAGAACCAAAGGAAGGTCCAGGTTGAGCAGCAACGAATGGCCACAGTGGCGTGGGAGGACTCACAGCTACCTCTGCGAAGCCACCAAATTCCTTGCTGCCACAATCAGACATTCACTGATAACTGTCATTAATAATACAGCAGTTTCCTGTATGAAGTTCTGAGATATGCAATATGACATTTACCCGTATATAAAGCTTTTAAAAGATTCCTTACAGTCTGAACTTTAGTTCAACTCTCTCCTTCCCCACTCTCCACCATCCTCTCTCCCCATACTCTAACCAGACTCCGCCACCTGCAGTTCCCACACACCTTGTGCTCCCTTGGCCTCCAGATTTGTTGTTTGTGCAGTAAACCCCACCTTACATATCCATCCTAAAATCTTTCCCATGCCTTACCCTGTCCCCCAGAGTAATCCCTGATTCCCCAACCCTCACTCCTCTCACCACAAAGCCTGCCCCCTTCACTGAAGTCCCATGGCTTTCTCTCCATATCTCCTATTGCACCTAGGCCTACACTGCACACAACCTCACACCAGTATCTTAGCTCCTCCAAGAGACCATTAGGTCTTGAGAGCTATGTCTATAACTGATCATAACCTTTTTGGCCCCAGCTATGCCTGTTTCAGTACGCTGCAGAGAGCAGGCATTAAACAAATAAAATATTTTAACAAATTTTAAGAGTATAATTTTCCATTTATTTGGCAAAGGAAGTCACTAAGTACATCAGAGTATGCACATATACATGCATCTGTGTGTGAATGGTGTGTGTGTCTGTGTGTAAGGACAAAATGCCAATATAAACAAATGAAATTTTTGAGCTGAGTATCTCAGAAGGATTGACAAAGAAGTCTTGAAGAGTATCTTTCACTAATACAAAACCTAGAAAAGAAATGTTGTGGTAAAAGAGAAAACATCATTATGGAAGGCTATAATAAGGGCCTGGGTTGGTCATATTTTAATGAAATTCCTCTTGCAGGCATGTAAGCAAATACAAACATCACAAATAATTAAAGAGCCTGGTTGCTCAACTGAAAAAGCACTTCTCTCAGGAGGGAGCCGCTTTGAAGATAAGGAATGTAATGTGCCTGAGTATACCAAATCACCACTCGGGCATTTTACATGACTGGAAAACAATCTGAAAATCTATTACCACAAATCACTACTTTAAAATGACAATAGGGCATACCCTTCTCACAGGAAATACACACCTATGAATCCTGAAGGGGATGCAATTAATATCTTACCAATGCAAATACTTTTTATGAGGGAAAAAAAACAAAGTTATAAAGTGGCAAATGTCAATACTGATTTTTCAAACAGAAAGCAAGGGTAGATTCTGGAAACAACATGCCAATAAGTCTGTCATCAATTCTCAACAACACTCCAGACTAACAACTGAATAGACAGTGAAAGCACTGAAAAAAGAATGTGACAATTATTCAGGAGTTCTCTAAGAACATATCATGCCTTACTTTGTTTAGTTTCTCTTTTAACAGCATTACTGAACTGGAAAATCAGAAATACTCTACCTCAAATTCAGCAGCACTTAGCAAAGTTTCTCATGAAGTCACTATAGACAAACTATAGAGAAATGGGCAGAAACTTGGGTTTTAGTCTGGGTTCCACTACTTACTAGCTCTGTGAATAAAAGCAAGTCACTTAACCTCTGTGAACCTCAGGTCCCTCAACTGTAAAACAGACAACATCTATGCTATCTCCTTCCCAGAGTTGTTTTAAGGACGAAAAGTGCCAATATATTCACAGTGTTTTCTTGAGCCACACACCCCTTTGAGAATCCAATGGAAGTGATATCTCCCTTGCCCTCCCAAAATGCACAATCGCTCAAAATTACAATTCCAGAGGTCCACAGACCCCTGACATCAGAGCTTCTGGTTCAACTCTGTATACCCAGAGTCTTCCATAGGGCTCTGGAATACAGTAAGCTCTCAAAACTGCTGAATGAACTTTTTACAGGACTGGAAAAACTGGCATATTCACCATTAATTAATCAACCATCTACATAAACCAATATTGATTAACTGACCAAACTGGCTGGCAGTATAAACTGTACAATTTTTTTTCTAGATGGCTATTTGGCAATAAGTATCAAGAACTGCCTTAAAAATGATTATACCCTTTGATTCAGTAATTCTACTTCTAACAATTTAACCTAATGAAAGATTCATAGATGCATTAAAATACTTATGTGCTAGTATAGCTAAATGCATTCTTATTTCTAACAGAAAAAAAAAAGCAAAAGCAAGGAAGAAAAGGAAGAAGAAAACAATGAATATCTTGTCATTGGGAAATGGGGAGAAATTACAATATCAAGTTATAGAATACTATATAAATATATTTTAAACAGAGTAATTAACAATATGAGGACAAGCTGATAAGATGTTGTGGGAAAAAAAGAAGAGTAAAAACTAATTTATACATAACTTATTAAACGAGCCAGCAAGTGCTTAGAACGGTATCTGGCACATAATAAACACTATACAAGTGTTCATTAAATACATTTTTAAAAATCATATATGGAACATGAACCCAATATTTAAACATTTTAAATAATGTGGATGAATGTAAAGATGGTCAGAAAGAAAGAAGAAACTGTTACTGGTATTTATAGCCAGGTGATTTTTATATTCTTTACACTTCTCTGTAGTTTCTCAATTTTGTACATTGATCCTGTATCACTGTTAAAATCAGAAAAAATATATACACATACAAAAGAAAGACAGATGTCAATCTGAAAAGAAAACAAAAAAAAGACAGATGTCAATATGAAAAGAACAATGTTAGCAATGGTTTAAATAAGAACTTATAAAAAGAGCATCCTTATCAAATTTGCAGTTAGCACAAAGTTTAAAAAATTGCTAATACCAAGAATTCAAAATATCTAGAGTCAAGATTCAATACAAGATTCAAATTATTTGGTCCAGCTAAAACACTTCAGTTGAAACCAATAGGACAAAATATTGCATCAAGTTCCCAGACTTCCGATTAAACAAGGCAGATTAACCACAAGTGTCTTTTACCTCCTGAAACTCCATTAAAATGTCAATAAAGGAATAAAAAGGATGTAGGCGCACAAGGACAAAAAGAGGAGAAGACAGTGAGAAAAGATTTCAATCAATGTTGGGGAAATGGAAGACGGTGAATGACTAATAAGTCACAGGAAACTGTAACAGAAGGGACAACAGGATTGTTGTCACAGAACACAGGAGACACTCAGAACTTGGAGGCACCACAGACGTCGAAAGGTAGAGGAGAGATAGATGTAGGGCGGAACACATAGGGGAACTGTATAAAAATATGTTTATGGAGGGGTTGGATGCCTAGGTCCCCTCCTGCACCCATCACACAGCTAGATGAATAATCTCCTCAACTTCCCCACTGCAGACCAGAGGCACTTTCCCCTAGAGAACTTCAGCGGAGAGGCTCCAGAATCAGGAAGAGCAGGAATAGTAGGATCCAGGGACTGGAAACAGGGTGGGGTTCACCTTAAGCAAAAATCTTCATTCGGGCTGAATGAAAAGAACTGCCACCTCCCAAGCCCTTTCCCCACCCTTTGGCAATTAGGCTTAACTACCCAGCCAGATATCTGGAGGGAAATACCGCATAGTAGTTAAAAGCTCAAACTCTTAACGCTAGGCTGCCTGGGTTCAAATCCTCACTCCGCCACTTTCCATCTGTGAATCCTTAGACAAGGTTACTTAGCCTCTGGGCCCCAACTTCCTCATCTGAAAAATAGGTATAATACACCTCCATAAGCTTATTTCGAGGATGAAAACAGACTAGACTGAGAATCACTGAACTAGAAATACATAAGGCTCTAAGGAGCCCTTGGCATATCTACATAACTGCAGTACTCTCAACTCACCATTTCACTCTAGAGAAGTAGAAGAAATACTAACAAAATAATTTCACCCTTCTGTTAAGTTGGAATACTCAAGGAAGAGAAAATTCAAGGGAAGATCAATAAAATAAATGGGAGGAAGGAATCCTCTAGAAGTCAAATTTTCAACAATTAATATCCTTCATTATACTGCAAGAATTCTCAAATGAGAGGGAAGGGACTGGGTGGTGACCTCCCCTGCTTAGGAATTACTATTCCAGATCACCTAATGATCATAATGAACCAATTATAATAAAGAACAAGTAGGCACAAACTAGGTGCTAGACAATTTATTAAGAGCTCACCATGTCTTAATAGCTAAGGATGCAACAGTGAACAAGAATGCAACTGTCCCTGCCCCAGTGGAAGTAACTAAATTACCCAGCAGGCTAGTGCAGCGGCTTGAGGATAAATCAAATCCTACACTCAATAAACTAATTTAACATTTCATAATTGCTAATACAAAATCAAGTTGGAAGCACAGACACATACTATGTGCTATTAGTATTCATAACAATAACCATTTCTTGAATGTAAACTATCAGGAACTTTGATAAATGATGTACATGCACTATCTCATTTAAACATGACAATTCTACCAAGTGGATATTATTTCCCTCATTTCATAGATGAGGACAATGAGATCAAAGAGACTGAATACTTTGTCCAGGACTACATAGTTAGGCAGAGGCAGAGCTGAGATGCATCAAGTCTCTCTGACTCTAAAGCACATGTTCTTCCCACTCCACAATGGCAATATTCTAGGAGGTACCCTTGAAAATTATAGGGTAATGATTTCAGGTCTGGTTCAAAGATATCCAATTTAAGTCTGCCCTTTTCATTTAATTTTGTCTAAATGTTCTCAAGGCATTTTGTCTAGCGATAGTATAAAAACTTTTAGGAAGAAAAAAACAAAGTTGTACATAAAACCTCAAAAGGGAGCTTTTGAGGCATCCTACATTAGACTCAAAACTACTGCTAGTTCCCTAAAATAGTCTATTTAGTGACTTTCATTTTACAAAACCATACTAATCCATTTAGCCTGATAGAATCTACTAGGTTAAAAAAAAAAAAAGTTGTGTGTTTGTGTGTATGCACATATTTAAGTGCGTATGTGTATGTATAGTTTTTCCTAGTTTCACAATATTTCCAAAATTTTATTTTCTTACTTGAATATGCCTTCAGAAGAACCTTTAAATATCAAATACTTAAGGGACGAAAGATTAACAATATAAATATTTCTACAGTTTACACAGGGACAGAGGGTTCAAGTTTCCACACAGCATTAGTATGCTGTGATACGCCTTGGGTAATTCATCTTTGGGCCTCCCTAACAGGAAATCAGATGACACAATCTCTAAGGTGCATCCCACCTTTAAAATTCTATGATACTACAAAGAACAACCAGGAAACCTCACAAAACACTTTTCAAAGCACGATCAACTTTTATCTTTGAACGGGGTAACCAAGGGTCTACAACAGAAAGAGAAATCTAATCAGCATTTACTATTGCATCTGGACCACTTAACGTGGCAGCTTCTTTAGCAGCATATCCATGATGGAGTGTAGAGTTGACAAGACTCCAAGGAACCGCCGACTCTTAGGGAGTAACATCTGGCCAGTTCTGATTCTTTTCATCTAAAGGTGTTTAGTCTGAAAGGAAAATAAATCCCACTTTTATAGCCCATGAAAACCATACCCCTCTATCTAAATAATCTTTCCATCTCAGCCTCAAGAAACTAATAAAACAATGGTTAAGACAGCTGAATGAGTACTCTTCTTTAGTAAATAAGAGTGAGGATTGCAACAAGTGATGAAATCTGTCCATAGCAGCAAAGTAGGACTTGGGGTTTTTGCCTGTTTTCTCTCTGGTTTCTTTTTAATAAACTAGAAATGTGTGCCAAATACGGAAAAGGAGAGAGTATGTGAATAAATGTAGTATTGAGGTTCCCAAAGATCACATACTCTAGTCTAACTTTTCTCCTTACCTGTAATTAAATATTTAAATTACCTCATTAAATTAAAACAAGCCTCAGGGCATGTTTACAATAATTTATAAAGTTATAAGCCATGCCACTGTGGTTTAAATTTACAACTTAATTTTATAATTAAGCCACAAGAAATAATACATGGGAAAAAATGTAAATATGTATACCTATTTTCAACAACAGTAAGAAAAAAAATCCTAAAAACAAGAATAGAATTTAACAAATCAAAATTAAACATTATCTTCAAAATATTACCTTTAAAATATCTCATTTCACATTCTCCTCCCAAAAGCCTAAAAATATCAGAGGTCAGTTACTATTCATTTTATACATGTAGACAATGAAGTCAAAATTGGAGTAAACAACTTTACTAAAATCAATAGAGTAAAAGAAATAGGATTAAAATTCAAAGCTTCTGATTATAAGATACATGCTCTATTCAAAAATCAAGACACCTGGGGCTTCCCCGGTGGCGCAGTGGTTGAGAGTCCACCTGTCAATGCAGGGGACACGGGTTTGTGCCCCGGTCCGGGAGGATCCCACATGCCGCAGAGCGGCTAGGCCCGTGAGCCATGGCTGCTGAGCCTGCGCGTCCGGAGCCTGTGCTCCACAATGGGAGAAGCCACAACAGTGAGAGGCCCGCGTATGGCAAAAAAAAAAAAAAAAAAATCAAGACACCGAATCAAAGATCCTCCAAAAATTCAATTACTCAAGCTTCTGCTTACCAGGTTAAAAATGTCCATGCAGGAAATATACACTCTGACAAACTTCACAGAGAAAAATAAAAAATCTAAACACATTCATAGGAACTGATAACAAAGAAGATACCTGCATGATAAATAGATAAGGAGGATATTTTTCCAATTTTAACAAGTCCTTGACTTAAAATTTTAAACCACACACTCTAACAGGTATTGAAGATAAATTAATACAACACTGATAAATACATTGAGCCAATGGTACAAGTTTGAATTTGAGGCTTTACACATAATTTTTAAGTATCCATATAGCCCATTACAACCCCACTCCTCTGGAAATTACCTCATTAGGAATCTATGAAGGCTTTCCCTGACCACATTATGTCCAATCCTTAAAGGATTTACTAGAAAACACTTTTCAGAAATAAATATGTTAAGGAAATGTAATTTTATGAACAATCATTTATTTTATTATTTTATAAATATTCAAAATAAATCTTTGTTAGTTACTAATATACTTTTCTACACGTAGTACACTTAACTTAGAGATTAAAACACATTTTAGGGTCTAGAGCAGTGGTTCTCAACCAAGGGCAAGTAGCAATGTTTACAGACTTTTCGGTTGTCACAACTGGAGAGTGCTACTGGCATCTAGTGGGTGCGGGCCAGGGACTCCGCTAAATGTCCCACCCTGTACAGGACAGCCCCCACAAAAAAAAATAATTATCTGGCCCCAATGTCAACAGTGCCAAAGTTGAGAAACCCCGGTCTACGATCTAACTTTTATCATAAGGACTATTAAGGTTTACGTACCTTTGAATTTAATATCCAGACCACTAAATTCCAACTCAACTCCTTGAAGCGCTTCTCCCAGAGTTTCATGGTAGTGACTGATGCTTTTTTTTGAGCCCACACAGAATGGAAGTGAAAAGTACTTGTATGTCTCTTGGCGATTATGGTAGGGCCCAACAGTATTCATCCATAAGACAACTTCCTCTTTATCTTGATACTGAAACCAAAAAAAAAGCAAGTAAAAATAAGTTTTTTTAAAATCTAATTCAAATTAAGGGAATATTTATTTGTTCTAAACAGAAATGTACTATCTCAGTTTGGGAAGCTCTAAAATAAAATGTTGGAAGCTTGTTTCAAAAGGATGGTCAATGTCTACACATTAAAAATTAAATTCGGGGCTTCCCTGGTGGTGCAGTGGTTGAGAGTCCACCTGCAGATGCAGGGGACACGGGTTCGTGCCCTGGTCCGGGAAGATCCCACATGCCGCGGAGCGGCTGGGTCCGTGAGCCATGGCCGCTGAGCCTGCGCGTCCGGAGCCTGTGCTCCGCAACGGGAGAGGCCACAACAGTGAGAGGCCCGCGTACCGCAAAAAAAAAAAAAAAAAAAAAGAAATTCGGTGAATTTTAAAATTACATCCTCTGATTGTGGTCTCACGCAGATACACATTTTCCAAACTTTGTTTTACAGAAGGTACTGTTTAAACAAAACCCAATAACCTATAAGAACATGTTTATAATTAATATTTACACTATCAAATAACGATGAACCTAAAACCAACATGATTCACCATGCTAACGTGGACAAGGAAGGAGGAAACAAAATCAATAGCTTATCCAGAACCTCATGTTAATCACTAGAAACTCCAAAAACCTAATGCTGTCAGAAAGCACAAATAAAATTTCATCTCCTTTTTTCCCCCACAGCCATTGATCAAAGTACTAGAGATGAGAGAAATGACTAAACAAGAGGAAGAAAAAGCCATACTATGAAATCTCCACAGCCCATTCAAGTCATCATTCCATCTTTCCCTTTATCAGCCTGAAAGACAGGTACTGCATGCAAATTTCCTTGAATAAATTTATGGCTTTACCCATTAGTGAATACTATACGTAGCTAAACCTGGAGTGTGGTCTGATGACTTTGGGTAGGTGACGTCACCTTTCCAGCGTCCAACGGGGGGCAAGTGCCAAAGATTTCTAAGATCTCCTCAAGTCTAAAATTCCAATGATTCTATGAAAAGCAGTTACCTGAGTAATTTTAAAACTAGTATTCCTAATTAGCAATACAAATTAAAGACAACTAACAGTTGCAGCTTAAGTCAACTAACAGCGCAGAAGTTTAATCATTGAACAATTATTTACTGAGTGCCTACCACGCGCCAATAATTGTGTTTGTTGAGGATACAGCTTTGAACAAGACACATTCCCTGACCCACTGGAGCTTAGAGCCTAAAGGGAAAGATGGACACTGAACCAGCAATTATAATAACATAGGGTGCTGTGGAGCACATAACAGAGGAACCTATCCAACTAGCCCAACTACCAAACATTACCTCCAGTCTTCCATATAAAATGAATAAACATTTTCCATCAAAATCCAGCATCTCCAAAACCAAACTCATCCCACCCAAACCTAACCCCCCAAACTTTGTTTTTCTAATGGTACAATCCTCTCAGTCATGGAGACTCAAACCCCAACCCCCCCTGCATTCCAAAAAACACGACTTGTCTACTCTTATCCAAAGCATCTGCCTCTTTTGATCCATACCACCACCATAGTAGGACTTAGATCTAATCATCTCACCTTCAAACCTAATAAACGTCTCATTGTTCAGAAGACATTATCCAGGTACCTCATCAAGGAAATAAAAAACTACCTGACTTTTTGAATACATGAGACATGTACCACGCACAGCATTAGGTGTTAAGGTTATAAAGATAAATAACATACTGTCCTTTCCTTTAAGTAGTTCACAATCCATAGTGGAGCCAGACAAGTAAATGATTAACAATGAAGAAATAAGTGTTACAATTAAGGTAAAAAGGGCTATTGTAGCAACAATAAAAATGATTAATTCTGCTTTGGCAGAGAAGGGTCAGGATGAATAACAATATAGAAAATCATAAGCTGTTTCAAGTGAATTCAGAAAAACAACTGTAGATAACCTTCATGTATGAAGGAACAAATCAAAGGTCTGAATGTATACACAGATACCCATTCATAACTACTCTTGTCACTTTAGGGGGTTGACAAATATACGTATGCCACCACTCTTCCATCCAATGTTCAAGGTTACACTGCACTAATCAATCAAGGTACTCCTTTCTGCACAGACATAGGTATAGTTATAGATATATAGATATAGATAGGGATATAACATAAGAATTCTCAAAACGGTTCTCTAAACCAATCCCTATCCACTGAACAGGGCTGGTATTAGAATTGAAACCTGTTCACTAAGTAGAAAGCTCTTGGCATAGTATCATGTACACAAAAAGTATTGAATATGATGAAAAAACACTGAAGAAATGCTGAAATGAAAGTTTATTGGCAACTTAGTGAGAGAAGTTTGAAGTATGTGCACTGAGATAGTATCCTTTGAGAGAAACAAGGAATGCGAGGTAACCAAATGCATCCATTTAGGATTACCATGCTGAAAGAGAGGACCAATTCTTACCATTAACCCTGCTGAGTCTGCAGAAATTTTATAAATGTAACTCGTGAAAATAAACACAAAAACACTTTCTCTATAAATCCTAATACTCATATTCCTTTAAAAATAGACAAAAACTTTAACATAAATACTTGTTAAAACAGAGCATTCATTTATTTCATACATACTGAAACACAGGACTAAAATAATTTAAGGGTCACAGTATGTGTTAAACTACATGTTCTGAAGTCACTCATTTTAAACATTCATGAAACCTTGATGGGGTAGTAAAAATCTGACAACATGATGCAAACTGTACTATAACAAAATGTGTACCATTCTTTGTGTGTGTGTGTGTGTGTGTGTGTGTGTGCGTGTGTGTACCATTCTTTAGCCTAGGATTCCTTCTGGGAAGAGGACTGAAATAGGGATTAGAAACAACAACAACAACAACAAAAAATATATATATATATGTAACATAGACACAAACACTCATATATATACACATACACAAACACACACAGATTAGGGTGAATATTAAGGCTAAAACTGTTTCTTTTCTTTTCTATTGCTCCTTATGCATACCACAGTCAGATTTCATGAACTTAAAATGTTTACTTTTGCAACAGGCGAGGCCATAACAGTAAGAGGCCCGCGTACTGCAAAAAAAAAAAAAAAAATTTACTTTTAATTATAGTTCTTATTTAACCCTGAGAATAAGTGTTCCCAAGACAATGTCAAGGGAAGAGTTCTTTTTCAAGAGAGAAAACATGTCTTAAAATATCGCGAAATTAGAAAATACCAAATGGAAGAAACTTTTTAAGGAGAAAAGCCTTTCCTTTCCCTAAGCTGCCAGGAAAGTCCCTGGGCTCCCCCAACTCAGTGGGAAGACAGCAACAGGTAAGGCTCTTCCCTCCACCCTTGGCTGAAAGGCTAGTCTAATATGCTTTCAAAACATTCCACAACGTCCTAGCAAGCTCTTTTTAAATACTTTCCTTGGAAAAACTCTGAGTTGCCAATGACATGGAGAAAGATGGAATTTTATAACTTACCTGCAGAGCGTAACCAGAAGAAGGGGAGAGAACAAATCAAACAGGCACAGCAGTGGATCAGGAGATCCCTGAGCATGGGGCTGGCTCCTTCCATGAGGCCTCCCTGGGAAGCAGCCAAAGGACAGGAGGCCAATTCAGACTACCTGCATTCCTCACTTCACTGTTCCATTCGTTTCCAGTTCTCAGAAGTTTCACTGTTACACTCAACTTCTATGCTGGCCACTCCAGCCAAAATGGCTTATATTATTGTCTTCCTTTCCTTTCCTGCTCCACCTTGTTTCTTACGTCATTCCCCCAAGTCTATAATGCCCTCCTCCTACCCACCTGGCCGATTTCTACATATCCTTCAGAACTGCCCAAATCCTCCTTTCTCCAACCCTCAGGTCAAACTTTAACTGACCAATCACTAACATGCACGTGCTTACCGTCTTTTGGGACAGTATCATTATTAGCCAAAACTTAACAAGCACATACCATGCGCTGGGCATAGTTCTAAGGTCTTTAAATAAACATTTAATCTCTCAAAGTTCTGTAAGACAAGTCCTATTATTTCCCCCATTTTACAGATTCAAACAAACTAAATAGAGATGTTAAATAATTTGTCCAAGATCATTCTAACTAATTAGTATCACATTTACAAGCTTAGGACTACATTTTTGCTAATCCCTAGTCAGCTTCATTAACTGAAGAGCAAGAACTAAATGAAGGAATATGGGGAAAATACAGCTGTACAAAGCACCTAAGGAAGTGCTGAATGCTGAACAACTTTTCTATTTGAGCCTTTAATCTGCACTAAGGAAAAAAACCTTCCTAAGAAGCTCCTTGTCCTCTGATCTCAAAAGGAATGACCTTCATTCTCAAGAAGTCACCAATGTTGGATCTCTCATTTAAATACTGTTTATGTGCTGGGTAAGTGTAGGTACGGAAGTTTCCCTCCTTGATAGAGATCGTGAATTACTTTTTCTCAGAAGGAACACTTCAGGAGATAATGTTACTGAATTTCTCGTGTAAAATCCCAATAAAGAAAATCAGAATTTATGTAGACAGGCAAAGGACTGAGGGCTCAGACTAAGCACCCAAATGCCATCATTTTTATGGGATGAGGGGAAAGATATATGCTTACTTTAAAATACATATCTGAGAAAGCAAACTCCAGTTCAGAAAAATATTTCAGAAATCATAATTTCAATGCCTTTTAATTATTTAAAACACATACATCAGAATTCTAATACATATAAATTATTAGTGTATTTTTGGATAGTCTCTTGAGATAACTGCTCTCTCCCTCTCAAAATAGCTTTGTACCTAAACTTTTAGTCTACCATAGAGTACAGCTGAAAATAGGACAATGAATTATGACACTTCCTAAAACTAGATCCATATTAAAGCGCTCACAAATTCACTTGTAGTAAACAGCTTATCCTCTTTATAAATCTTCACATATGTTTTACTAGTGCCCATACTCCCGACAGAGACAAAGACTAAAGGCTTCATTTGCCTAAGTAAAGCAAACAAAACATCTTTTTTTTAGCCAGTAGTGTAATAGTGCTTATGGCAAAGGTTGAGAGTAGGCTATCCTAGGCACAGATCGTGTCCTTTCAACTTTACCTACCAGAGATACAATGGGCCACAAAGAAACGGGGTTTTAACCTAGGTAAATCACAACAGCCATCCCCAAGACTATGCACCTTAAATGAACAATCGTCTGCATTTGTTCACTGCTTTAAGCGGTAGGGTTATCATGCTTCCAACACTGCATATTCTTATTCCTGGTAGATCCCTAATTACTCAAGTCACTCAACAAGCACTGATTAAATACCAGTTGCTGTGCCAAGCACAGAGCCTGGTATGTAACAGACCCAGAAAAAAAACTTTTTGATTTTGTGACCTTGAGGAAACAGAGCCAAAAAAAAATATTCAAGCCTCCGGTGTAAACCATAAAATGCTTTTAAGATTCCTGTGCCACTGATTACTGTTTTTTTGGCGCTGACATTTTTACATAGTATTACTATGGAAATTATATGTTCAAGACAGGTAGAAAAACGACTAGAAATCAGGTAGCTCAGACTCTTTCTGTGGCCCTGGGCCAGCCACTGGGCCTCTTCAGGCCATTAGGAAAATGAGTGTGTTGAATTCAATGGTCTCGACTCTTTCCAGTTCTAAAATTCTATGATTCTCAATTTGCAATCCTTTTAATGGAGTCCTCTGGAATCTTAGGTGACATGATAATCTAACTCTAGATGTTTCCAAGTGCTCCAACGGTCAGAAAACCAAATAAGCATAAGCCATACCCTATACATCTTTCACTCACTCTAAAGTGTTCTTGTTATGATCCTTCAATCACCTATTAAGAGCCTGTCTTTCATTAAAGTGTTCGTTAATTTTTATTTAAAACAGTGTATTTGGGACTTCCCTGGTGGCACAGTGGTTAAGAATACGCCCGCCAATGCAGGGGACACGGGTTCGAGCCCTGGTCCGGGAAGATCCCACTACTGCGGAGAAACTAAGTCCGTGTGCCACAACTACCGAGCCTGCGCTCTACAGCCTGCGAACCACAACTACTGAGCCTGTGTGCCACAACTACTGAAGCCCGTGTGCCTACAGCCCCTGTTCTGCAACAAGAGAAGCCACTGCAGTGAGAAGCCCGCGCACCACAACGAACAGTAGCCCCCGCTCACCACAACCAGAGAAAGCCCATGCGCAGCAACGAAGACCCAACGCAGCCAAAAACAAATAAACAAATTTTAAAAAAACCAAAAACCAGTATGTTCTGTAATTCACATATGATTCAACTTTTAAAAACTGAAAGGAACCCGTTTTTATATATTCTACATGTATATATACTCTAGAAGTCAGCAGCACATTCCCTTCTCATTATTCTTCTGAGAATATTAAGAGCGTTGGATAAATAAGCACATAAAAAATGCCATATGAGTCAAATGGTCCGCTGAATCCTAATTCAGTAGGTAAAGTAAGAGAAATCAAGGGCTTTCTGGAACTGCATGAAGTAGTCAGCTGCTCCTTCTTAGGACCAGCTACAGAATTTGTGGGGCCCAGCACACAATGAAAATGCAGAAAGTATTAAGAATTTCAAATGATGACAACAGAGCATTAAACCAAGCAGTCTTTATGTCTTACACACATTAAGCGACTGCAAGGGTCACATGCCCACTGCAGCCCTGTCCCTCTTTAATGCTAACCCAAACACATCCTCAGTAACAACCCACTATGGAGCTAAACTTACCCAAACATTTAAGCACTTAAAAATACTATCAATATAGAGAATTATTCAATTTAATGCCAAGTGTATTACTATCCTATTTTTAGGATAAAAGGCTGTAGAGCATATCCTATGAGAGCGTAGAAGACTATTAATTCAGTTTGCCTGAGTTCAAATCCTACCTCTACCTGTACTGGTTGTGTGGTCTCAGGCAAGTTACTTAACTTCTCTGGCATCTGTTTCCTCATCCATTCAAAGGACATAAGACCACTCACAAGATTACCAATGTATGTTTAAAATATGAGTTAATACATATAAAGTACTTAGAACGGTGCCTACCACATATTGCTACAAAAGCCCTATTAGCTATTATTTCTATCTGGAAACTGTCTTTATAAAAAGTTAATCTAAAGGGCAAACGTTAACTTCTAAAGATTGTTCTTTAATTAATAATCCAATTCCACGAGTATTTATTAAACACTTATCAGCAACCTTCCCTTGACAATTTTCCTCCTCCTTCAGTATCATTCTGGCTTCATTAGCTACTTCTGCCTTCTTGGTGGAAAAAAATTCACTTGACCACAGCCTTTTCAATATTATTATCTGCTTAAGGTGAATGCCTAGTTCTCAAGAAATATTTTCAACAAACTTGTAAGAAATAAAATATTTTGGCTAACAGCGAAAAAATATATGAATGACAATTTTTTTAGTTATATCTTAATGCTATTCTTCCTATAATTTTTAAAATAAGAGGTAACCAAGTGAGAGCAGTTCAATGTAAACATGACTGAAATAAAATGGATTCTAAATTTTTTTGTCCAACAATTCTCTCATACATGTCATATTCTCTCAAAAACCTTTTATCCAATATTTTATATTCAATTTCTGGCTTCAAAAATTTAAATGTTAAAGCAGAAACTAACACACCATTGTAAAGCAATTACACTCCATAAAGATGTTAAAAAAATTTTTAATGTTCCTGGCAATAAAATTTCAATGAAATTAGCGTTTACATTTTAAATCTGTAAATTAATCTAAGACCTTTTTATTCATCTCCAATTTGTGAAATTTTAATTAATACGTACTTTTCCCTATTACAGCACTTTATATAAAACACGAGATAAAAAAGTAAAATACTACTCTTAAGCTTATATGCCTGTATGGTGGAACTATACTTGAGACAATTCTGAGTTTTACACAGCAACTTTCCTTAAGTGTTCAAAAAATTGGAAAAATATTAGTAACCACTGGCTAAAAGAATGCCCATTGGAAATGAACACTTCTTACACTCTGAGACAAGTTACTTGACGGAAAAAACACCAAGAAAGCGTTTTTAACTGTTTAACCTGTGAACAAAATTATCTTAAGGTGAAAAGTCACAAATACAGCACAAAAACATGTCACCAGCTCAGGATTGTGCCCCTTAAAAAATATACAGGTAAGAAGTTTCTGGCTGTGACTGAAGGTACAAACGCCAAAAGTTTAGAACTGTTGTTAGCTAAGATAAGAGCCCAGCTAACCTACCGACTAGAGAAAAGAAGTCTGGTTGCTTCATTTTCTCACTTGTCAGGAATGACAGGAGACTTGCAGATTTAGTACCACACAACCTGTCATGCAAAATCGTATCATTAATTAGTTAAGGTCTAAAAACACAACTACTCACAAGCACCCTCTAATTTACATGACTTTACTTACTGCCCTGCTCAGATCTACCTTTCAGAAAGCCACCGACTTGCATCCCTAAGTGAAATTCACTAGAGTCGGTAACATCCAAGCTTTGATGTGGAAAATGCCAATTAAATAAACAGCCAATCAATTTTAAGCCAAATGCAAAAGGGACTGTTCCCTGCTAGACAAGAGGACTGGGAAACTCAAGACCCCTCACAGTCAGAAGCCGCCTAGTTAGAGACCACCGACTGGGATGGGAGCCTCATCTAGGGGCCAGAAGAGGGTGAAAAGAAAGTTACAAGAAAGGCCTCGCAGGCGGGTGCGTGTGGCTGAGTGCCTGTACACGTGTAAAGTGCTCTTCACTCAAGTTTATCAAGGCTGTCCCCACGCCAGGATTATGATCCGGTTTGGGCAGAAGGGGGAAGAAAAAGGTCGGTGAGCACCATAAAGCGGTGGGTATTTCCTGGTTACTGTAAGGCGGGTAATACGTGGTGCATACATCTTCCGCCGTGTCGTAGTCCCCGGCAGCCCGGGCGCTGCTCACTTTCCTGGGGGGAACCAGCTACGAGCCTGGCTGCCTGCGGCCCCCACTCCCGCGGCCAAGTGAGCCCCGACCCTCAGACCCCACTTCTCTCCCGTCTCCCGGGGCCCCTGGACCCAGGGGTGCGGCGCCATTTAGGTCCGGGTTGGGGAAGGAGGCCCAGGCACTTAGGGAGCGGAGTCCCGTCCCGGGAGCGCACAGAAAGGCCTCCACCCCGCTCCCGGGGTTCCTGCTCCGCCAGGCCCAACCGGAAGGCGCCCTCGGGCGGCCGCGGGGCTCGGCCGGGCCGCTGGGCCCTCCAGGCCGCGCCGGGCCCGCCGAGGCGGTGGGCCGGGGGAGAGGGCGGTAGCGGCCGCCCCGGCCGGGAGCAATTCTCACCGTGTGCTCGTGCTCGTCCGCCCGGGCCCGGGGCAGCAGCAGCAGCAGCAACAGCGCGGCGGCCGCCGCCACGCCGGGAGCGCCCGGCAGCGGCCTCATCCTCCGCGCTCCCACCGGCCCGGCGCCGGCCCACCGACTCCTCCTCCGCCGCCGCCGCCGCCGCCGCCTCCGCCGCGGCCGATTCGCATCCACGGGGTACGGACAGACGCACGGGGGCCCAGGCCCAGCCTTTGGCTCCTCCGCGCCGCCGCCGTCACCGCCCGCTCCGGAGCCTTCCCCGCCCCCCGGCGCCTCCTTGCCTCTTCCTCTGACTCAGCCACGTCATCCGGCCACCCCGGCACACGCCGGAAGTGCCTCGCGATGCGGGGCCGCAACCACCGCCGGCCGCCCCGCCCGAGAGGGGCGACCCCCACAGCCACGGAGGACCGCGCGAGGGCCCGGCCCTCCCACCGGCCCTCCCGCCGGCCGCCCCAGGGTCGCGAGAGAGGCGGCGCGCACACTGGCCCCGGCCTCGCGCCCCTCGCGGGTTCCTGGCCCGCGTCGCAGGGCCTAAGCCGCCTCCATTCAACTTGTACGAACTAGGTCAAAACGCTTTATTCTTCCTGGCCTCATTTTCCTCGGCTGTGAAGTCGGGTAATGGTCTGACCTACCGCCTCTCGGTGGGGTCGGATCAAGTAGCCCTCACAAGGAGTTCGGCTCCCGCCGGGAATGAATCACCAGCTCTATAATCGTCATTAAGGGAGATTGTTAAACTGGTTGGATGAGTGTCTTAAAGCCAGTGAATATTTACTGAATATTTATTTCAATCTTGTTGAAATTCTTGTTCGTTTATTTGTTTATTTATTGTTTGTTGGGTCTCCAGTGCACAGATATAAACACCTCTTAGAATATAAGTTTTTCTCCTAAGCAGAGATCCTGTTCACTGACATATACTAGAACTGTATCAGGCCCATAGTGGAAACTCAGAAGATATTTGTTAAATATATACATGAATATGGCACCACCATCTACACAGTCCTCTAAGCCAAAACTCTGAAAACTGGAGTCGGATTGTCTCCATCTCTCAGCCATCAGCAGGCAACAAGTTCTAGCGTTTGTTATCTTAGAAATGAATCAAGAATGTATTTTTCCTCTCCTCTGCCAGTAATAACCAATCTTCTACGCCTCACTCACTATGTATTACAGCAGCCTCCTACCAGGATACCTATCACCAATCTTCCTTCCCTGTTTATCCTCCCAGGATAAACAGGTGCCAGTGAGTCTTCTAAAAAGAAACCTGATTATATCACTCTCTTGCTTAAAACACTCCTTGAATATTGTTTACATAAATCAAGGAATCACAGCTAAGATTTTCATCTGCCAGGCACTATTCTGAGTACTTCAAATGTATTGACTCAATCCTTATGCAACAGGCACTGTGAGTTATGTTCATTTTACGGCAATGATCGCTGAAGCCCGGGGGGATGGGGGGTTTAAGTGGTTGCTGAAGGACTGGATCCAAGCATCTGGTTCCAGAATCAGTCTTTCTTACTACTCATGGACTACCATCCATACAGTCATTTTAAGAAATGAAATAGAGGGGCTTCCCTGGAAGCCCCTGGTGGTGCAGTGGTTAAAAATCTGCCTGCCAATGCAGGGGACACTAGTTCGAGCCCTGGTTCGGGAAGATCCCACATGCCGTGGAGTAACTAAGCCCGTGCGCCACAACTATTGAGCCTATGCTCTAGTGCCTGTGACCCACAATTACTGAGCCCTTGTGCCACAACTACTGAAGTCCACACGCCTAGAGCCTGTGCTTCGCAACAAGAGAAGCCACCGCAATGAGAAACCCGCGATCCGCAATGAAGAGTAGCCCCTGCTCACCGCAACTACAGAAAGCCGACACACAGCAGTGAAGACCCAACGCAGCCACAAAATTAAATAAAAATTTAAAAAAGAAGAAGAAATGAAATAGACTTGTATGTACTGGCATGGAATGATAGCCGAGAGATAATTTTAAGTGAAAACACTTGAAAATATAGAGTATGATTCCATTTTGAATATTAGTCTACCCATAGAAAACAATCTGAAAGATTATGACTCAAACCATTAACATTGCACATGCCTACAAATATTTGCACGTATGTGCTACATGTGTAATCAGGAAAAAAAAATCCTTCCTAAAGTGTACTCCTGTTAACATGCAGCTGCAGAATCGGATCCCAATTTATCTCCTCAGCTTCACCTCCCACTGATCTCTTCTACCTCAGGCTATAGCCCTACATTTCCGAAATATACCAGGTTCTTTTATACCTCTGTGCCTTTGCTTTCTTTTTTCTTATTGGAGTATAGTTGATTTACAATGTTGTGTTAGTTTCTGCTTACAGCAAAGTGAATCAGTTATACATAAATATATATCCACTCTTTTTTAGATTCTTTGATTTCCCTTTGCCTAGAATGGAAATGAATGGACAAACTTTGTTACTCGTTTTCCAGGCCTAAATGAATGACCTCTTTAGTGAAAACTTGCATGATGCCCTCAGGAAGTTGAGCATCCCTTCTTCAGGATTCCAGTTGCATTTATGTCATAACTACCATAGTCCCATTTCCTCTTTTGTACTACATTCTGACCTTTGTTGATAGCAGCCAACAAAGTACTGTACTACTATTTGTTTATATCTGTCCCAGCTGCTGGGACAGTGCTTGTCACATCATAGACATTCAATAACTATTTACTGAAGACATTCATAAGTAAAAAGTCACATAGCATAGAAGGATTTAAAGAACACATTCTAGATAGTCTAAGACGCATCACAAGGCAGTACATGATTAATTGCTGAATGAATCATATGCCAGTAATTGCAATAGAAATCAGAGGAGGCGTCTTATACATCTTTGTATATCCCCCAGAGCACCTAACACAGTGACTTCCTCATAGTGGAAGCTCAGTAAATGCTCCATGAATGAATAATCACAATTTTGAATCAAGTGATGATGGGCAATTGAAGAACAAGCACTGTAAGTGCTGAATAAAGATGCATGAGTAGGGCTTCCCTGGTGGCGCAGTGCTTGAGGGTCCGCCTGCCGATGCAGGAGACGCGGGTTCGTGCCCCGTTTCGGGAGGATCCCACATGCCGCGGAGCGGCTGGGCCCGTGAGCCGTGGCCGCTGGGCCTGCGCGTCCGGAGCCTGTGCTCCGCAAATGGGAGAGGCCACGACAGTGAGAGGCCCGCATAACGCAAGAAAAAAAAAAAAAGAAAAAACGAGAACAGATATGTTCATGAGTAGTCTTGCTTAAACATCCATCACCAGCCTCCACAGATTTGAGGCAGTAAGCATTTGCTAGGTGTTGTCAGGTGCTCTAGGTTAGCAATTACTTTGGGGTGGGGAGGACACAAGAAAAAGTATGAAGTATTCATTTGGGGAGTGTAGACTTAAAACCAGGAAACATTACACACATAGAAGAGAACAGAGATTACAGTGTACAGAAAAAGAACTGCACAAAATGTGACCAACTCTGCAAATGTTTGGTAGGCAATAAGAGCAATGGGCAACACTCTCGCCACTATTATTCAACATAGTTTTGGAAGTTTTAGCCACAGCAATCAGAGAAGAAAAAGAAATAAAAGGAATCCAAATTGGAAAAGAAGAAGTAAAGCTGTCACTGTTTGCAGATGACATGATACTATACATAGAGAATCCTAAAGATGCTACCAGAAAAGTACTAGAGCTAATCAATGAATTTGGTAAAGTAGCAGGATACAAAATTAATGCACAGAAATCTCTTGCATTCCTATACACTGATGAAAAATCTGAAAGATAAATTAAGGAAACACTCCCATTTACCATTGCAACAAAAAGAATAAAATACTTAGGAATAAACCTACCTAAGGAGACAAAACACCTTTATGCAGAAAACTATAAGACATTGATGAAAGATATTAAAGATGATACCAACAGATGGAGAGATATACCATGTTCTTGGATTGGAAGAATCAATACTGTGAAAATGACTACACTACCCAAAGCAATCTACTGATTCAATGCAATCCCTATCAAATTACCAATGGCATTTTTTACAGAACTAGAACAAAAAAATCTTAAAACTTGTATGGAGACACAAAAGACCCCAAATAGCCAAAGAAGTCTTGAGGGGAAAAAACGGAGCTGGAGGAATCAGGCTCCCTTACTTCAGACTATACTACAAAGCTACAGTCATCAAGACAATATGGTACTGGCACAAAAACAGAAATATAGATCAATGGAACAGGATAGAAAGCCCAGAGATAAACCCATGCACCTATGGTCAACTAATCTATGACAAAGGAGGCAAGGATATACAATGGAGAAAAGACAGTCTCTTCAATAAGTGGTGCTGGGAAAACTGGACAGCTACATGTAAAACAATGAAATTAGAACACTCCCTAACACCATACACAAAAATAAACTCAAAATGGATTCGAGACCTAAATGTAAGACCGGACACTATAAAACTCTTAGAGGAAAACACAGGAAGAACACTCTGACATAAATCACAGCAAGATCTTTTTTGATCCACTTCCTAGAGTAATGGCAATAAAAACAAAAATAAACAAATGGGACCTAAAGAAACTTAAAAGCTTTTGTACAGCAAAGGAAACCATAAACAAGACGAAAAGACAACCCTCAGAATGGGAGAAAATATTTGCAAATGAAGCAACTGACAAAAGGTTAATCTCCAAAATTTACAAGCAGCTCATGCAGCTCAATATCAAAAAAACAAACAACCCAATCCAAAAATGGGCAGAAGACCTAAATAGACATTTCTCCAGAGAAAATATACAGATTGCCAACAAACACATAAAAGGATGCTCAACAGCACTAATAATTAGAGAAATGCAAATCAAAACTACAATGAGGTCTCACCTCACACTGGTCAGAATGGCCATCATCAAAAAATCTACAAACAATAAATGCTGTAGAGGGTGTGGAGAAAAGGGAACCCTCCTGTACTGTTGGTGGGAATGTAAATTGATATAGCCACTATGGAGAACAGTATGGAGGTTCCTTAAAAAACTAAAAATAGAAGTACCATATGACCCAGCAATCCCACTACTGGGCATATACCCTGAGAAAACCATAATTCAAAAATAGTCATGTACCACCATGTTCACTGCAGCACTATTTACAATAGCCAGGACATGGAAGCAACCTAAGTTTCCATCGACAGATGAATGGATAAAGAAGATATGGCACATATATACAATGGAATATTACTCAGCCATAAAAAGAAACGAAATTGAGTTATTTGTAGTGAGGTGGATGGACCTAGAGTCTGTCATACAGAGTGAAGTAAGTCAGAAAGAGAAAACAAATACCGTATGCTAACACGTATGTATGGAATATAAAAAAAAAAAAATGGTTCTCAGGAACCTAGGGGCAGGACAGGAATAAAGACACAGACGTAGAGAATGGACTTGAGGACACGGGGAGGGGGAAGGGTAAACTGGGACGAAGTGAGAGAGTGGCATGGACATATATACACTACCAAATGTAAAATAGATAGAGCCGCATAGCACAGGGAGATCAGCTAGGTGCTTTGTGACCACCTAGAGGAGTGGGATAGGGAGGGTGGGAGGGAGACGCAAGAGGGAGGAGATATGGGGATATATGTATATGTATAGCTGACTCACTTTGTTATAAAGCAGAAAAAAGTTATGTCTGGAAAGTTCTGAAGTTTGCATTGATTATTTACACTGAGTGGCATTTCTCTTCAAGACTAATATGAATTTACTAAAACATGAGACAAATTTCCCACTGTTCTCAAAAAAAAAAAAAAAGAGCAATGGGCAAGGAGAGAAAAGCAAACCCTATTTTGGTGGAGTATTTGGGAAAGTTTAATGGAGGGAAGAGCATGTAGGGCCATTAATTCAAGGAATATTTATTGAGCATCTATTATGTGCCAGGAACTCTGATAGGTGCTAGGAAATGATGATGATAAATGGCTTTAGGGGATAAAAGTCTGATAACAGTAGGCTTGGGAAGAAGGAATAGGAGATAAAATAACTGATTAGAGGAAGAGGAATATGGCTTCAAAGATTCTTGGAGGCTGATGACCCACAGGGCTCAAAAATTGTTAGGACTCAGGGGCACCATCAAAATCAGGGCTGCTCTGCCAAACTGGACAGTGTAAAACATTGATAAATCTTATTTCATCCGTTTCTTCATCTAGATTAATGATCTCATTCCCTGACACCAAAAAGGTTGAAGGGGAAAATGCCAGTGAAAGGAAACCCCTCCCAAATGGCTGTACAACTTCTTTTTCATGATAGTTCTAATAAGACTCAATTGTTTAAAGAGTTTATGACCAGCAAATGATCCAGAAAACCAGAATTTCAACCTTTTATTCTTATCCTTGATAAACATGATCATCAAAAGTCTTGGTCTATAGATGATAGCATATCTTCTGATTTCCATCTTCAGCTACCTTTTCTTTGAAATTTTGTTTCTTCTTTCTACTTTATGTTTGTCTTGCTAGTAACTTTTCTATTGCTATTTACCACCTTCTACCTCTACCTTTTCTGTTCTAGGTGAAGTGTTCTAGATACTGAAGAATTTTATAATTGGTCTGAATTCTTTCTTTAGGAAGCAATCACTTAAAACATTGGTTCTTAGACCAAAGAGCAACTAAAGCTATTAATTTCTTTTTACAGTTCCCATTTCACTGTTTCTGACACATTTTTTTTTAACTGATCTGTCATAACACTGATACAGTGCATGGAATGGGAGTTGCCACATAATCAGATCCCTTGCTAATTAGGTGGTGAGTCTAGTAAGGTTGTCTCCCTCCTTCATCAGAATGAGGTACACCCCACCAAGGGGAATTGCCTTAGTCCTAAACTTAAAGAGGTGAAGGGACCTGGGTTATTACTAAACACAAAACATTTTACTTCACAGATGATGGAGAATCAAGTTAAGTGAATTCAGCAAGTCAGCAGCAGTCCAAAATAAAATCCAGGTTTTCTGACTTCCAAGCCGTGTTCTTTGTCTACATCATGCTAACTCTTACTGCATGGCTAGCTAAGACATTTTCCCCTATATTGTGGGTTAAATGGGCTCTGGCGAGCTAGCCAAGGAGCCTATTTATTACAGTTTCTATGAGAAAACTAATTCTGAGTTTTGCCTCAGAATTCAGAACACATCTTTCTATCTCCTACTCATCCTCTTACCACTCTGATGAACATAATATCTGGCCATCAGGAATGAATGAGGAAGGCCATTTTATATTCTTAATAACTCACCTGGAATTGAATAGAACACTATTTATCAAACCAAAGCAAATATTTATACAGGAAGATTCTTCAAAATTGAGGATTGATTTTTAGGATGAATCTTCTAGAGTTATCCAAATTAGCTACTTGTCTTTCTTAGAAATAAATCTGTTACTAATGCTTCCTCAGCCAACCAGCTGCAAAACCACACACTATGCTTTGAAAGACAGCACAGAAAACCAACTTACTTCCAGAGGCAAATGGGAGAGGGATCTAAAAATCCCAGCTATTGAGGTGATGTAGGACAGAGTAGGATCTCTCTTTTTTAATAACAAAGTAAGACAAAAGAGGGGGAGAGGGTAGGTAACTTAGCTTGACTTGTAAAAATATTCATTGAAGTCATTTACATACTGTTACTTTGCCTAATTATGGCAAAGCATTAGGGATTATTCACATCATTAAATACGTCAAGTTAAATTATTTGATTGCAACACAAACCTCCTGTTCAGAGTCTCTCAGTATTCATACTGTGTTGCTCATATAGTTGGGTTGTCTGCTCACAGGTTTTAACATAAGATGAAGGAACAGTGCTGGCCTGGGAACTGGAGGACAATGTACCTTGCACAGTTAGAGGCAAAGGCAATGGCAGTGAATATGACCAATAGCTTCACTGTCGATGAGCCAGTTTGTAAAATCTTGGGGAAGGATGGTGGCCACACAGCTGTCTCCCAAAGCATCATACAGAGAACTTTTTAACTGTCTCTTTGGACACCTAGCTACAATTTAGTTTCTGATTCTCATTATATTTAAATTCATGGTTTTGTTACATAATGTATTCCTAAAAATGTATACAAAAGTTGAGTGTGTGGAAGTTGAATAAATTTACATTATAATGGGTGGTTCTGTTTCTAGAGAATGAAAAATTTCACCCCAGCATTAGAGATGTCCTTTGATAACATGGTCCCAGTGTTTCATCCAAATTTTTCATTTTCCTCTTTTAATTTTACACACAACCAATCATTTTGGATGTTCAGTGAACGTTCAATGAGGATTGAAGACTTGTCATTTTTGACTTGGCACTCCTGATCATTTCCTTCTGTGTCTCAAGTGTGTGTCACATTTATGAAACCCAGGTATCTCATAAGCACTTTTAATTTTATGTTTTCCACTTATTTTCATATAAGAATAAAAATGCAATAAAATATTCCAATATTGCACAGTGATGTGCATACAAAGATGGTAACACCATTGGCTGGCAGCAGATTTTGCCATGTTACTGATCTAAATGCTTGTTAACCAAAGAATGTAAAAAAAAAAAAAATCTAAATTTCCCATCCAAAAGGGAGCTTAGAGGTACTAAATATCTTTAAAAGTATATCTTTTATCAAGATCAAATGTGCTTAAAACAGAGACTATCAATAAGAGGAAGGATAACCATACCAACCTTGTATTTCTCGTTCTCCTTTTATCTCATATCACCCTATTTCTCCCAGATAAGTGACCAGGAGAGTAAAGGGACCATTGCAAAATGGCTACTATGTGCCAGGCATTGTGGTAGGTAAAATTTCCACAAATACTCTCTTAATGGCCAGCGCCAATAGTGTATTTTATGTCAGAAAAAAACAAAACAAAAATACAGAAAAACAAAACCCCAAAATCTCAGAAGCTATTAACTTCAATAAGTCCTTGTTTGCTGGACTGAGGAATTCGATTGAAAAAGAACCATTAATCCCTACAAAAGGACCCAATAAAACTGTACTTAAATGAATCTTTAATAGTATGACTTTTATATCTTTGTGTGGGATGGAGAATAATTTCATGGAGAAGCATCAGATTTCTGATAATTTTTAAAGAAATAGGTCTGATACTAATTTTACTGTGTGTTTAAGCATCAGTTAAGGTCCTATGCTTTGAAGGTAGATTTATGTGCTAGGGACTCAAAATTAATGATATGTTTAAGGCTCTACATGCTCTGCACAGATTTCCCAAGCCTGGTGGTAATAACGTGTATATGACGAAATAGATAACTATTTCTACTTTAAGTTCCTCTGTCTTCGTCTGACCCCTCAGCAGAGTAAAAGTCAAGGGTCCTCCTCTCTCCTATGGCCAGAACTAAGATCCATTGCTCTGCATCTAAGGCTGCAGAGCAATAAGTGGGGTCCCTGGCATCCCAAGCTTCTGGTTCCCAACCATTTTTTAGATGTTCTTTGGTAGCATCACTGTTTTGCAAGCATACTGACTTATAAATGCTCCAAATACTTGATAGTCCCATACCTGGGAGATATGGAAGAAGAAAACTTCTGGAAGGCCAATAGTCAGTCACTGACCAGGTTTCTACATCTGCGCATTTCTTGAGGGAGAGAGCTTGGCTATTTGGAGATGGAAATTATGGTGACCTGATATCAGCAGGTCCTGATTCTAGACCCACCTCTTCATCTAACCAACTGAGTGTTCTTGGTTCCAGGCTTCTGTGAAACCTCAGATTTGCCTTCTATATAAAAGGAGTTAGGACTAATCCCTCTCTAAAGTCCTTTTGAGTTTGTTGTATGTGACCAGCCCTGGCATTTAAACACCCTCCTGAAGCTACAGAAAAGCTGAAGAATCATTTAAAAATTAGGACATACCTTCTTACTTGAATACTGTAAGTCAAATCATAATCACTTCTAGAAATTAGATTGGACTAGCAAATAAGTAAGACCTAATATAAGTACATTTCAGTAAAATCATTTGTAATGTACATTTCTGAACAATCTTTTCAGGCTCCTGACATGCCAAATTAGAGTTAAGTATTCTAGTTAAGTCGTCATCCTTTTGGCAAACAAGAATAGGGATCAATATACTTGATGATGGTGAATGAAGTCCTTAGTTTCACCTCTTTGTGCCTTAATAATATCTTCTTCAAGGAAAGCCCAGACCAGCAGGGCTGCAACAATAATCAGCAATGAGACTGGGTCTTAAGGTCAGCATTCAGGCCATAAAACTCAAAATGAAGACATCATTAACAGGCTGAAAACCACAAGTCTCAAGGTCCCGAAGTAGGCAGGCTTTAGGAGGTGGAATCAGCGACCTCTGGGTGGAACAGGTGGAGGAGGATGGAAGGTCTCCCTGGTCGGAGGCCTGAAATGAAAGATAACGCAATTATTATCAAACGAATTTAATTAACTAGTTCTCAGGCATCCATGATTTGTTGCAAACTTGGTATACTATGCAAAGGACACGTTCTTCAATTAATAAAAGTGGAGAAACATACGGACCTTTCAGTGGCATACATGCTAAGCTGTGGCTTGCAATCCTAGCTGCACATTAGAATCACCAGCGGAGCTTTGAAAAATAACAGTTGCCAGGCTCAATCCCAGACCTATTCCATCATAATCTCTGGAGGATAGGGTTCAAGCATCACAACTTTTAAATAGTGTCCCTCCTTCAACCAGTTATATTAACCATGTCGTTTATTTTCTGAGGCTTTGACATCTAGGCCCTGGCTGATCCTGGAGGGCCTGCCCCTCCTAGGGAAAGCTAATTCCTAGAGATAGCAAACAACCTGCAGTGAACACACCTTTCACATGCAAACTAACCAGTCCAGAGCCCATACCCCAACCACGTCCTTTAATGGGACTCTCACATTCTGGACCACTATCCACTGCCCTAATCACCCCAGAGCCAGGTGCCAGACAACTGGAGACAGCCCCTTTGCCCCGGAGCCCGCTGAAATTATTCAAACTAGCCAATCCTTAATCTGCCTAGCCTGCCTCACTTGTTCCTTCCTGCAGAACCCAAAATAAAGGCTCTTGCCCATGTTTCTCCCCTCCCTGACATTTCTCCTGCCTAAACCTGGGGCTTTCCTGTGTGCCCCACCCCGGCATAATGTGCCCCCCTCCTCTTGGGATCTAGGAGTATAACAAACTCTCTATTCAAAGGCAGTCGTGGGGCTTCCCTGGTGGTGCAGTGGTTGAGAGTCCGCCTGCCAATGCAGGGGACGCGGCTTCGTGCCCCAGTCCGGGAGGATCCCACATGCCGCGGAGCGGCTGGGCCCATGAGCCATGGGCGCTGGGTCTGCGCATCCGGAGCCTGTGCTCCGCAATGGGAGAGGCCATGGCGGTGAGAGGCCTGCGTAACGCAAAAAAGAAAAAAAAAAAAGGCAGTCGTATCCTGATCTGCTGACCTTGCCATGCCTAAATAATAATAAATCCTATATTTTAAAACTCCAGTGCTTCAAATATGCAGCCAGGCAGGAGACACACTGCAGTGGGGAGATCCCTTGAGAGAGGACTTGAGAATTTCTGAAGTCGGCTTCTCACAACTGCTTCCATCTGGGATCACTAAGCGTGTTGTCCCAACTCCATGTCTGCTTTCCTAGAAGCCTCCCTCCATGTTAGTCTAGATGGTTCTTGAACAGTACTAAATGATACTCCAGACAGACCTGGGTGAATGTATTTACAGAGGGTTCAACAACTACAGATGGTATTTCCACAGGTGTGCTGTAAAACCAATATTTAATTCTCTTGGAAGAAAGTCAATAAGTCAAGAAAGAGAGCTTTGTCAGGTGCTGTAATTGAACTGTGCTACCCTGGAACTGCGTACTTGAGGACTGAATGAATCAATGAGTAAATATTTACTAAATGTCTCTTGAATGCAAGTTTGCGTAGGTCAAGGAAACGACAAAAGAGTTGGGAAAAGACAGGCCATTTCAGGAGCCAGAGAGGGAGGCAGAAGTAGAAAAGAATAACAACAGACATCCTCAGGAGGGTCTGCAGTGGCACCTGGGAGTAGATGGTTTTGTGTGGTTGTCCTTTTATCCAGAGAAAACAAATGGACGGTCTCCTTCCATCGCCCGACCTGCCCTGCGAACCATGGGCTTAAAGGAGAAAGCTGAAGGACAGTCAGGTGATACCACTTATCACTTGAGTAAGCTCAGGCTGGCTTCCTTGCTTCCTTCCTTCCTCTCAACAAACATTTATCTACTGTGCATCTACTCCTAGGTGTGGGATATAACAGCAAGTAAAATGGGCATGGATCTTTCCCTCAAGGTTCTGAGAATATAATGGATGAGACAGACAATAGGGAAAATCAGTACACTGCACTGAAAGTTTTGATAGGGCACATTCGGAACCTATGAGAACATATGGCAGAGGCATTCATGCACACATCTGGAGAATAAATTCAACTTCTCTGAACCTCTTTCTCATCTGCCAGACAGAGGTAAAGATACCTATGTTGGAGATAAAAGTATCTATATCGGAATTACAGATACCTATACTGTGTGAGATGACAGCTGGAAAGTGGATAGCACTTTTGGCTTAGAGTAGGCACTCAAGAGGTAAAGCTAATAATTTTATTATTATGATTAAAGATGTATTCTTAGACCTTTTCCCCATGTATGCCCCATAAGCCTCACATTTTACCTTCCATCACAAAGAGAGTCACGATTCCCTACTCGTCCCTCTTCCTCTGCTGCCCGACTCTGCAGTTGGGGCGAGTCTACAAGCAAACCATCTCCACATTTCATTCTGATGAACAACCCAGCTAAGGATTGGAAGCCCCATCTCAGGGAAAGGGGTTTGTGATTACAGACATATCAGAACCATGGAAATAAAGGTTATTAAATCAGAATCAAGTGGTGGTCTGTGGGGGAGACGGCCTCTCCAGGACGCTGGGAAGTTGGAGCTGGAGACAGAATTGTCCAGTCCAGAGACCTGGGCACTGGCTGCTTTCTCCTCCGTGTTGAGGGTGAGGTCTGTGCTGATGATAAGTTTGGTTCAAGAACCCAGCAATCCTAATGTTGGTTACATTCTTTTAAAGCAGGCCTATTATTTAGATGGTATGCTTTTGTATGATCATAACATTGTTAAAAATATCTTTAAGCTTCCCTATTAGTAAATAGCCTCCGGCCCAAGTCCCCTTACTCTCTAACCACTACCCCCCATCCCCCAGGGACTTCACAGATCTCTTTACAAGTCAGCAGCTAAAGGATTAACTCTTGGTACTCCAGGAGGCCTTCAGAAGTATGTTCTGATTTGGCAGTACCTAGGCTACGCCTTAAAGGGGAATGCATAGATTGTTAGTGATTGGCAAATCACTAGTAAATGGCAAAACATATTAAAAAACAAGGGGGCAATGGCTCAGCAAGATGTTGGCTTTTTTTTTTTCTCTACTGGCACGACTTTACCTATGAAGAGTGTGATATTGTCAGCTGCCCACTCTATAGGGACTAATGCCCTGCAAGGGAAATGCCATGCAAAGATATAATGCATCTGCTCCTGTTCTTGTCACCATCTGCCTTTCCTAACTTTGAAGTATAAATATATTAGGAACTTACAGCGGGTGGGAATGTGAAGCTTCTTTCCACTAATCTGTAACCCACCTGCACTGTGGTACACGGCTTGATGGCTAGCTGTCAACCCAAGCAGTAGCAGTCTATCCATCCACCCATTCACTCACTTGCATGATAAATATTTGCTAAATTCCTAGCAGGTGCCAATTACCGATTTAACTTCATTCTGTGCTGAGGAGAGTAGAAAAAATTTTTTTCTTATCAAAAATCTCTAGGGACTTCGCTGCAGTGGTTAAGAATCCACCCACCAATACAGGTGACAACGGTTTGATCCCTGGTCCGGGAAGATCCCACATGCTGCGGAGCAACAAAGCCCGTGTGCCACAACTACTGAAGTCCCCGTGCCTAGAGTCTGTGCTCCCCAACAAGAGAAGCCACCGCAATGAGAAGCCCGCGCACCGCAGCGAAAGAGTAGACCCTGCTCGCCGCAACTGGAGAAAGCCCACATGACAGCAAAGACCCAAAGCAGCCAAAAATAAATAAATAAATGAAATTTTAAAAACAAACAAACAAAAACAATCTCTATTCTTTTGAGGTTTACCATCTACTTGAGGAGACAGATATGTAAACGAGGGCCACAACATGGGATGAATTATAATGGAGGTATTTGGGGAACCACAAGAAGGTTCACTCTGCATAGGAACATCAGGGAAGGCTTCACAGAAGAGGTAATGTTTGGACAGAGTCCTAAAGGATGTGTAGCAATTTTCTAAGCAGAGATCAGAAGGGAGTAGGAAGACAGCATTCCAGGCAAAAGGAACAGATTGAGCAAAGACAGCACAAAATGACACAGCTCACTAGGAATTCTTAAGGGGGAAACATCAGTGACTACAAGAGAGGGGTGGGACTCAGGGCCATGGCATGCTAAAAAATAGAGAATTAAATTTAAGGTTTTCATGCCAGGAAGTGCCATCACCAGTTATTTCTGCTCTAGAATGGGCACTCTCTGGTGCAGTGGAGGAGGGACTGACTGGAGGCAAGGAGGTGAGTGTGGGCCTACAGGGATGAACTTAGGCACTGACAGATGGAGAGGAGCGGTAGATCTGAAAGCTGCAAGGGCAGCAAAATGAACAGAGCCTGGGGAGCTTCAAGGGAGGCAGGGATGGAGGCTGATCCCGGGGCAGGTGCTTGGGGAAGAGAGAGAATAGTGCCACGTCTCAGGCTGGGAAATGGTGAGAAGAAGGCAGTTTGGGGCAGAGAGTGGCAGGTTGGATGATGAGTTCAGTTTTGCATGGGCTGCGTCTGAGATCTTGGTTGGACACCTGGTGAAGTTCCCAATGAACAGTAGGAAACAGAAGGCCAAGGTACAGATGGCGATGGAGACTTGGAGTCATTGCTGACAATTCAAGCTCTGGGGACAGCATGCAGAGTGAGAAGAGGAAGGGACCAGGACTGGAGAGAGTGATGAGCAGGATGTGCTGTTTGAGGGAAAGGGGGGTTCAGGAGAACATGAGTGGGGAAGAGCTCTGTCAGTGGGTCAAGCATTCAGGAGAGAGGCCCATTTTATTCTTTGCTCAAACATCTCCTCATTTTATTATGAAAATTACATACACACTTTCAGAACAATTGCATCTTTTCCAATCTTCACACCAAAAATGCACCCAAACCCTGTTTCTATCAGACATTTCTTTGCAAACACCATTTCTTTAGTAACATATGTTTTCCTCCTTTTCTCTCCCCATCTTGATCACAACATGCTTCCAGACTCCCCCAAAACAATTCATCTGCCATCTCTCTTTACACATTAAATGCATCCCAGTTTCCAGCCTTTAATTTCTGGAACCCATTTCCCTGGTTGTTCCCTCTCCTGTAGACAAAATCCCACAGAGTCTTTGTAGCTATATATTCGAGATTGACATTCTTTTTAATCTTGGTACAATTAGATAACTGCCTCCAAAGTCTTTACCTTCAGGAATAAAAGGTCTTAGATCTTGTATCTTCTCCCATGACACCTGGACCTTCTTGGACAGGTGTAACAAAATGACTAAAAGACTGGACCCTGGAGTCAGACACACCTAGGTTTGCCACAGACATAAAGTCTCCATCCAGTCTTAAGCCCTGGTTTCTACATCCGCAAAATGGGATAACACTAAACATCTACCACCTAGAGTTGTGAAGAGAATTAAATGAGCTAATGCATTTAGTGTGTTTAACAGAACACCTGGCACATAGTAAGCGCTCAATAAATATTAGCATTTATTACCATAATTGCTCTCCACAAACACCCCTCCCCAATCCCCAACTATATATAATTTTCAAGCAATACAACATTATGCAAATTCAGGTGATTGGACTAGGTTATCGCTAAGGTTCCTTCTAGGGCTAATGTTCTAATATGTGAACTCTATTCTATACCAGAGAAACATGCTCCGTGAGTGTGAAGCAGCTTGGGACTGAGGGAGGCTTGTGTAGCAAGTGTCAGTACGTGAATGTTTCTGGGAGCACACGGAAAAGGGGTAATAGCAAGGGGAGAAATGGAAAGATCCTCAGCACAGGGTCAGCTGCTCTTTCCAGAAATGCAGAAGAAAAGCCTCCTTGTGGTACTTTCTCAACAAATTTCACTGATGAGGTTCATTTGAGTTACAAGTTTCAAATTGAAAAAAAAAAAAATCCTAGTTTAAAAAAACATCCTTTTAATCTCCCCCCGCCCCCCCCACCCCACACTGTATTTCAGACATCAAAGAATTAAACTCCCAAGGCAAGCCTAGGCTTTTATTCCCAAAGGCTCCTTTCTGCCTTGGCAGACAAGCTAGCTTTGACCACCTCTTCTGTGACTCCAGAAGACCTTAAAAAGGTTCCTGCCAGAAGCCTGAACACAAACAAAGACATACATCAGAGCCCCATAAGTCAGTCACACTCTTTTGTCTAATGCCCAGCTCCAAATCTCCATAGGCTCATCCTTCTGAATAAAAAACACTCAGACTGTTGTGCTCTTACTAAGGGCCAGAAACACAATCCTTACGACTCTGTGAGGAAGTTCATTGACTATCTCCGTTTTTTTTTTTTTTTTGGCCACGCCATGTGCAGCATGAGGGATCTTAGTTCCCAGACCAGGGATCAAACCCGAGCCCCCTGCAGTGGAAGCTCAGAGTCTTAACCACTGGACCATCAGGGAAGTTCCTACTATCTCCATTTTATGGACAAGGAAATTAAGGCACATGACAGTTAAATAATTCATCCAAGTTCACAAGTGGCTGCCGGAGACTTCCCCAGGCAGTGTTTCTCCACCACCACACCTTGCTGCCTCTCACCTTTATTTCCTCTCCCAATTCCTTCTTATCTCCTAGTCCCCAAAAGGCACTGTCTCCACTATGCGGCCAAGGGAATTAGTTATTCGGGAGCTGAATTCTAACCAGATAAAAATTATGCAAAACATTGACCTTTACCGATGTATTTCACTGACAAAATATTGCATTTGTTATTTAGAGTATGTGCAACTGAATAAAGCATCCCTTAAGTTAATGAATAGTCCACATTGAAATGTGTCCAAAGTATGCATTTCAGTGAGTCTAGCTCTGTGCTTATTCTTGGGTCATTTTAGATGTCCCCAGATCCTACAGTCCCCTGAAACTCAGAGAGTGAGGAAAAAATGTCCCGTCAGCTTCGATGTTACCTCTGTGAGGCGGCTCGGGGCGGCACCCTGGGGGGCCTCTCAAGGGGCATGATGGGTGCGCTGTCCACTGGTGGGGGGCCTGGACTACGACTTCTGGCAACCTCGGGGGCTTCATTATCCTACAGCAAAAAAGATGAGAAAGAAGGGTGAAAATCACATTAAGCAACAGCATAGCTGGACACACTTCATCCCACAAGCTCCTCAGCCCTCCCCAGGCTTTGGCTGAAGGTTACTTACTGACTGATAATCAACCCAGCAATACCAGGGCAGTTTTCCACTGACACTGACCCCCAGAGTCACTGAGGAGACCATCAGATCCAAATTATCATTAGCGATTCGAGCTCTTGTTCCTCACTACTCAGTGTGACGTGTGGGCCACCAACATCACCATCGCCTGGGGGCTTGTGAGAGCCACAGGGTCCCAGGCTCCTCCCCACACCTGCTCCATCAGAACCCACATTTTCACAAGATCCTAGGTATTTCTTATGCATGTTAAAGTTTGAGGAGCATTGCTCTATGTAACCAGATAGGGCTGGAGAAGTTTTATTTTTAAACAGAAGTCCCTTTTTGGGACAACAGAACGGTGACTCGTCCTCAGTCACAGGGTCATACAAGCTGTGCACTGGTGGGCGGCCCACCCCTAGGACCCTACCTCAGGGAGTCTCCTGGGTTGGCAGTGACCCATGTGACCTCACCCGCACATCCCAGCCGCTGGTCACTGGCTCAGGATACACACCCTGACCCAAATTGGGCCTCAGCCTAAGGCAGCAACTTACACTCTGCTCAGAGACCTTGCGGCTCTCGGAGAACTGTCTGCCACTATCCATGTGGAGAAGCAGAAAAGGCCAGTGCGCAGTGAGAGAAAAAGGAGATACCCACAGGAAAGAGGAGACAAAAGAGCGTGTGGCCTGGGGGGGGGGGTACAATGAACAGTGGCTCCTGCTGTGGCATGCCCCGCTCCTGACCCAAGCCCCAAAAGGCGACCACTGCCCCTGGAATCCCTGATACTCATCCAGTTCCCTCTCACCCCTTTTGGCTTAACCCTTCCTCCTTCCCTCTCTTCCTTTCTTCCCCTCTTTTTATTGAGGTGAAATCCACATAACATAAAATGAACCGTTTTAAAGTGAACAATAAATAGCACTTAGTACATTCACAATATTGTGCAACCACCATCTCTATCTACTCCCCAAACGTTTTCATGACCCCCCCAAAGGAAACACTGTACCCCTTAAGCAGTTTACCCGTATTTCCCCTACCCCCAGGCCTGGTAACCACCAATCTGCATTCTGTCTCTATGGATCTACCTTTTCTGGACATTTCAACCTTTTGTGTTGGGCTTCTTTCACCTGGGTTTCCATTTCCTGCAGTGAAACGACCCCCAGACAAGACATATGGGGGTGCGGGCCCCGGCTCTCACCTCGTTGTCCCCCTCCATCCCGCTGCTCACACTGAGGAGGCTCCGGGTGCTGGATCGGTTACTCGCGCTGCCTAAAGGGCGCAAACAAAATCAGCTGGACTGTGGATTGTCTCAAGGTAAAGTAAATTTTGCAGAACTCTAGCTCTCACTTACTGATAGAAACAATACACAAGCTGTGCATACGGGCTTCTTCAAAATGCTGCCGTCTAATAACATTACCATGTTATTAGACTTCAGTTTTTCTTTCAGCATAAAATGAAATGGTTCATCTTTGTATTACCACTTTTTGCTTTATAGCCATTTATTGAGGGCTTACCCCACGTTACATGCTTTAAAAGCACGACCGCATTTAATCCCTATGAAAACCCTACCCGATATTAGAGCTCCGATCTGACAGACAAGAAAGCAGAGACGCTCTAGTTCTCACGTGTTCAGTGGTATTTCTAAAATCTGCAAACAACTTTTGTTGCTAAAGTTTTTTTTTACCTATTTAGAAATTACAGCATGTGCGAGTATCACACATGTATACATACCTTCTAAAAAGGGGCCAGTGTGACACAAAACACAAAGCACAGATTCAAAAGTATAATTTATACGCAGGGTAGGAACTGTGACTATGTGAGTTTAGGTGCTCAAGGATGTAAGTTGGGGATTTATCACCTACCTCATTGAAACAGCATTATCCAATAGAACTTTCTGGAAATGTTCTGTTGTGTGCTATCCAATTTGGTAGCTAGTAAGACACATGGCTAGTGCAACTGAGGAACTAAATTTTATTTAGTTTTAATGAACTTGAATTTAAATAGCCACATGTAGCTAGGGGTTACGGTATCGGACAGCACAGCATTAGAACAAGCTCAAGAACGTGATTGGTCCAGCAGTGAAGAAGGAAGAATAACAGCTAATCAACTAAAACTTTGACTTTAATTTACCAATACTGCCTTTAACAGTATTGCCAGATCTCAGGTCTGCTGAATTTCCACTCAAAATAGCTCCTCATCTTATTAGTTTACAGGTAAATTGCCTTAGTTTTGACTTCATTATGGTACCAACTTTGACCTAATTAATTTAGATGTTAGCTTGACGGTTAAGATTATAATTTTGGACTGTTTCTCAGAGGCAGATTTTTAAATTTAAAATAATGTGTCAAAAATATTTCTAGAGGGGCTTCCCTGGTGGCGCAGTGGCTGAGAATCTGCCTGCCAATGCAGGCGACACGGGTTCGAGCCCTGGTCCAGGAAGATCCCACATGCCGCGGAGCAACTAGGCCCGTGAGCCACAACTACTGAGCCTGCGCGTCTGGAGCCTGTGCTCCGCAACAAAAGAGGCCGCGATAGTGAGAGGCCTGCGCACCGTGATGAAGAGTGGTCCCCGCTCGCCGCAACTAGAGAAAGCCCTCGCACAGAGACGAAGACCCAACACACCCCCCCCCAAAAAATTAATTAATTAATTTAAAAAAATATTTCTAGAAACCAGGGGATTCAGTTAGTCCATTAAGGAGCACGTGACCCTGTCTCTTTCTCTCCAGCTACCCACACATAACACTGCTTGCTCAGCCAGAACGTCCTTTTCTCCCTGCTCCCCCCCAGCCCACCCCTATCCACAAATCGAAAAGCTCCTGTCCCCAACGCTCAGGACAAATGATGTCGAAACCTCTCCAGATCCCACCAAATGGAAGTAAACCCTCCTATCCACGGGCTCCCACCCCTGTGGAGCCAAGCCTCTCACGTCATTCATCATTGTTCATTCCCTTCCCTTACAACGAACGAGACTCCTTCCAAAGTTTATCCACTAGGAGGGAGCAAAAAGCTGTCCAGGCACTGGCTCCAGGATCCTGGAAATTCGCACCAGCCAGCTCCCCTTGTCCCTTCCCTTGGTGTTCTTGAATTTTTAACTCCCACGCTTTGGCTTTGAGCCTTCGCTCCTGGTTTATCAGCCCCGGCTGGCCCTCTCCTCTCTCCAAGGCTGATGACCTGCTTGGCCACAACCTGTCTGCACTGCACCACTGGTAGGAGGCTCTGGCCCCAGCCCCCAGCATCTTCACTCTTGCTGGGGGAACGGGGCAGTGCCCACCCCCTTGCCAGGCTTCTGTCACCAGGGAAGAAGGATCAGACAAGCATCTAACTGGTACCATATTTATACCTTCTCTCCTCCATTATAAGTCCCCTGAGACAGACCCTATTTCTTTTTCAGCTTTATGTCTCCAGTATACAGTCTAGTTCCATATGCACAGGGCTGTCCTCAATATTTGGTGGAGGAATGAATGAGGGAAAAAAAAGGACCCTATATATATGACCCTTAAGAAACCTGAACCAGACAACTTAGAAGAAGGTCCATGGTCTTTCTGTAATGAAACTTTTGTTCTCTTAAACATAACACTAATATTTTGTGCTTAAAATTATAGTCACAACCAGATTTAACCTGCAACTGTTTTCCTGTAGTTCCCAAGAGATGACAGCTGCACCATAATAAAATAGTGCTGTTTTTAGGGTATGACTCCGGGGGTTGAGGGGCAGTTGGTGGATCAGAGCTGGGCCATCCTCACTCTCCCTCCTTGCCCTGGGAACTGTTTCTCTTTGGAAGGCAGTATGTCCCCATGGTTGAGCACACAGAGAGATCTGGATGTGAATCCCAGATGCCCTGCTTAATTTCCAAGTGACCCAGGGTAAGATGCCTAACCTAAGCCTCTGTTCCCTGGTCTCACAGCACTGCTGTAGAGAGTGAGACCGCACGGTAACAGGCTTGGCACAGAGCCTGTAAGAGCAAGCATTTGATTAATTACAGCAGCTATCATCATCACTAGTCTCAAAATGGCAGATTATCCACTAGTGACCCAAGGGCCCTCACCTCCAGTGTCCACACCTTTGTATAGCCTCTTCCTCACCTCCCTCTCGGCTTAGCCATGTGACTTACTTTGGCCAATGTGACGTTAGCAAGTGTGATGCAAGCCAAAGCTCGATAAGTACTTGCACACTGGGGCTTGTCCTTCTGGAATGCTCCCTTTATGGATCTTGTTATCATACAAGAAGTTCAGGCTATTGAATTAGAGGCCATATGTAGACAGTCCCTGGAGAGTGAGAGGCCATCGTGGATGCTCCAGCCCGTGCCAAGCTTACAGCTGAATACAGTCACATGAGTGACCCCAACTGACCACAGGGGGTGGAGGTGAACAATTCCCACTTGACTCCTGGCCAAGTTTAGAATCAGACATACATAAATGATTATGTTTCAAGCCACTGCATTTTGGGATAGTTTGTTACATAGCAATAGATAACTGTGCAACAGGGCCTGGATGCAGTCTACAGCCACAGAGTAAAATAAAATCCTCTGGTCTGTCATTTAATAACATTTTCTACCCCAATAAGATAGCCATCTCTGGGCAGTACACCACCACACAAGGTAAGAAGCACAGTTTATGCTTTCCAGTCTATTCTCACTCCAAGCTAACTCAAAGTAAAACATATGCATAAAATGGTTTAAATTAATCTGAACCTGAAGTGAGTACTCTGCATTCATCTTGTTAAATTTCCCCTTCCCGCACCCCAGAAAGCCCTGCCCTCACCCCAAGAGTGTCTACACCACCTCTCCTCTCCTCTGTGACACATCTGAGTCAGCTGCCTGCCTGTCCCTTGCTTCCTCTGCCACCTGTGATCACTCCCATTTCTGAACTTATCAGATTTCTCTAAATTGCCTAAGGGGGGGGGGTGATACACATTATCACCCCCATAATGTAAGGGGAGGTTTTCTTCTCTGTTAAGTCTAGGCTTCTCATGTGGTTGTATGATATGCTTTGGGTCTGCTTCAACAGGTAACAGTAGCAGAGAGAAGAGCTGGGTTCTACTCTCATTTTGCCATTGACTGGCTGTGGGACCTTGGGCAAAACCCTTTCCCTTTCTGGGTTACCAATACTCTATTAATAAAGTAAGGAGGGGGAATAGTTCAGAGGCTCTTGACCTAAGTCCATGGATGGGCAAAATTGTGTGTGTGTGTGTGTAAACACATGCATGTGCATTTTTATAGGAAGCACATCCAGAGCATATACCAGACTCTCAAAGGGGTATGTGATACAGAAAAGATTAAGAACCCCTGGGTTAGGTGACCTTCCAGTTCCTACATCCATGTGGGGGTCTTCCACCTGACATTTAAGGAGACGTGAGTCCTGAAATTCAGCTTGGCTCTTGCTCTTTCACTTCTCTCCTAGCTGTTTTGATAACACTGAAATGTTTGAAAGCAGAGAAACACGATCTATTTGGCTTGTGAAGCTGGTGTGTCTGAAGTCAGCTAATACCGCCCTGGATCTGGAAACAAAGCCCCAGCTCCTGCCTGCACATCAGCGTGTATTGCCTTGTTGCAATCAGACACCTATTCAAGCTGTCAAGCCAAAAAGAAGACATTTCCAAATTAGATCCTCAACTTTCCTCTAAAGTTGGAATTCTCAAATCCGAGTTCACTGTTTTCTAATGTTTCTGACTTTGTGCCCTTTCCTTCCCCTTCCCACAGATGAAGCAAAAAGAACAGTAGGCAAGAGTCTTGGCCCTGGATTCGGTCCACCTGAGTTCAAATCCCAGCGCTACCACTTGTTAGCTATTTAACCTAGAGGAAGGCACTAAGTTTCCAGTTTCCTCCTCGGTAAATAGAGGTGATAATACCTATCCTGTAGAGTGATTATGAGAATTAAATCAGAGAATCTGTGGAAGAGGCTTAGCATATAGTAAATGCTCAATAAATATTAACAAGTATTATGATTAGGATTTTTCATTTATAAAAGCAATAGAGTAATAATTATCATGCAATCTGGCTTCACGGGATATTTGTATAAAAGATCTTTGGCGCCCTGAAAAAGGCAAACCTCACAGGCTAAATGTCCCCCATTTCTTACACCTCCCAAGTCCAGATCAGGCTCCAAGTAAGATCTTCTGGGCTCATAACAGAGCACATTTCCAAGGCCCAAAGGCACCTGCGGTCCACCTGCTTACTTGCTGTGCTGGAGGTACTGTCTGTTTTCCAGTCTCCTCGTCTTAGCTCTGTCCTTGGGGGAAAGACGCTTTTCCTGGGGCCACTCTCATAGACTCCAAACTCCACTTTCCCTGGCAGGTGCTGTGAGTGCCGAATTGGGACTGTGATCTCCAAGTCTGGAATTAGAGGGAAAAGAGATAAGCTTTAAGGCACCAGGATGCCACTTACAAAACTGCTGGGCTGCTCTCTCTCCACCCACCTCCTCCACCCGAATCTGGAGGGTGCCTGGAGGGGAGGGGAGGGGGAAGGAGGAGGAGAAAGGGAGGGGGAAGAGGGTGGGGGTCCTGTCCAATTCAGCACTGAAACTCCAGACTACTGTGTGGCAACTGTTGACAGAAAGTTGGGGTGGAGGAATGTTAGAAAGGGCAGAGAAATGCTTTTGCATCAGGTAGAAGAAAGAACATG